CATCCTAGCAACCATCTAAACACCCTAGCAATCATTTAAAACATGCAAGAACAACTAAGCACACACTAGCAACCACCTAAAGACCCAAGCACAACATAGAACACCCTAGCAACCACCTAAACATCCTAGCAACAATCTAAAACACCCAAGAACACAAACACACTAGAAACCACCAAAACACCCAAGACTAACTTAGAAACCCCTAGCAACTACCTAAACACTCTAGCAATAACTTCTAACACCCTAGCAACTACCTAGAACATCCTAGCCACTACCTAAACACCCTAGTAACAACCTCAATCATCCACACAAAACACCAAACACAGAACCCCTAGTAACCACTCAGAATGCTCAAACAACTCTATAGAACATCCTAGCAACCCCCGTAGCATCCAAGAACAACACAGAACATCCTAGCAACCATCTAATCACCCTAGCAACAATCTAAAACACGCAAGAACAATTAAGCACACACTAGCAACCACCTAAAGACCCAAGCACAACATAGAACACCCTAGCAACCACCTAAACATCCTAGCAACAATCTAAAACACCCAAGAACACCACCGAACATCCTAGCAACCATCTAAACACCCTAGCAATCATTTAAAACATGCAAGAACAACTAAGCACACACTAGCAACCACCTAAAGACCCAAGCACAACATAGAACACCCTAGCAACAATCTAAAACACTTTAGAAAAAAACGAAAATCCCCCAAAACAACATAGAGCAGCCACTTGAACACCCTAGCAACAACCTAGAACACTCTATCCCAGCATCTGCATAGCAACCACACACACAATACGCTAGCATCATGGCAGCCAGGTCTGCACTGGTTAAAAGCACACACCTAGTTTAATAAACCAGTCAGTGGTTTGAGAAGGTTTTCCTGGCAAGCGAGTATGTGCCAACAGTCTGAAAAGCGTCCTACACTGTCTGAGCAGTGAAAGATGCTCCTCAGGAGGACAGACTCCCGCTGCACCTCCTCAATCTCACCTGTGGAGAAAACTCACACGCAGGAGCGATAATTACCTCTCGGCCTGTCTTCATATCGCTCCGCTGCTCCCTGACTGAAACCCAGCTGCAAAATAACACTCATTTATCACTCAGCAGATGCAAAATAAATCACAAATGTAAAACAGACATGAATTTTCGTACGCAAACTGATGTCGTACTGTCTCTGTTTACTCATTACGTGCTCTGATTGTTTCTTTGCTTCCAGAAAATGTGACAAATTACTTTCATTGACTAATAAAGTGAGCTGTCTGAGTGTTTGTTTGATAAACCAACAGAGCAATGACAGGTTTTCATCACTCGAGGTTTTCATAAATCTACAACGCTTTCAAAAAATGTATTTAAAGGGGTCATGAACTGCCTTTGTTTTTTGTTTTAATCTCACCTGTGGAGAAAACTCACACGCAGGAGCGATAATTACCTCTCGGCCTGTCTTCATATCGCTCCGCTGCTCCCTGACTGAAACCCAGCTGCAAAATAACACTCATTTATCACTCAGCAGATGCAAAATAAATCACAAATGTAAAACAGACATGAAAGAACTTTAATTTGATGAAGTTTCAGGGCGGTTTTCGTACGGAAACTGATGTCGTACTGTCTCTGTTTACTCATTACGTGCTCTGATTGTTTCTTTGCTTCCAGAAAATGTGACAAATTACTTTCATTGACTAATAAAGTGAGCTGTCTGAGTGTTTGTTTGATAAGCCAACAGAGCAATGACAGGTTTTCATCACTCGAGGTTTTCATAAATCTACAACGCTTTCAAAAAATGTATTTAAAGGGGTCATGAACTGCCTTTGTTTTTTGTTTTATTTTGTACTGTTCTCTAAGTTCCACTTATAATGTTATCAACATTTTTACATCAATCAAATATCATAATTTACAAGCAATAGGCCCAAGCTATTTTCTATCTTGTTTTTAACCCCCCTCATCAGAACGCTCTGTTTGTGGCGGATTGTAGACTCGGAAGTAAACGCCCACTGCTATGATTGTGTACGCTCCTCATAGATGGACGCTGCTGTGATTTAAGTCAAAAACGCATAAATACTCAGTACAAACGATCTGTAAGAAGAGACTAAGCAATAGTGATCACGTAATGAAAACAGTTACTCGCACTTGTGTTGAGACATTCCTGTCAGATCCAATATACTTGGCACAGCATCGTCTTTTAGTGTCAATCTTTTTGAAAATCCTGTTGAATTGTGCCTTGTTTGTAAATGAATCCACGGTAAAATGAAGTGAACAAAGGACTGAGTTTTTACTGGATCTTCATTAAAAATAAAGTTCATTCACTCTTTCCTAACGTTGGGATTAGAAGGAAGGCAACGCAAAGGCTGTTTTTCCACTGAGCAGCATCTTGTTGTCTTCAGAGCATCTTTATCATTTGGTTTCTGTGTAGACCTGCATTCGCCTCTCTCGTAAACACTGCATGCATGAATCGGTGGGCGGGGCTAAAGAGGCAGCGCTGTAGAAGCAGGTGTTGATCTTCTGCGGAGGCGGTGCTTATCCACACTATTACATCACAGAGTAGAACATTCCACAAGCTGTCGTTTTGGCAGACTGCCTTCAATATAAGCTGTTTTTAGACTAACGAAAAAGTTTTGAGTTCTGAAACTTACAGGATATTTTTATAGTACACTGACTTCTTATATGTTAAAAGATCAATGCAAAGACTGTGTTTTTCCACAGCTTGGCACTGCACAGCATCTTGTTGTCTTCAGAGCATCTTTATCATTTGGTTTCTGTGTAGACCTGCATTCGCCTCTCTCGTAAACACTGCATGCATGAATCGGTGGGCGGGGCTAAAGAGGCAGCGCTGTAGAAGCAGGTGTTGATCTTCTGCGGAGGCGGTGCTTATCCACACTATTACATCACAGAGTAGAACATTCCACAAGCTGTCGTTTTGGCAGACTGCCTTCAATATAAGCTGTTTTTAGACTAACGAAAAAGTTTTGAGTTCTGAAACTTACAGGATATTTTTATAGTACACTGACTTCTTATATGTTAAAAGATCAAGGGAATTTCTCAGTTCATGACCCATTTAAGAGACAAAAAGTGAAAGCAATCAGCTGAGAAAGAAAACGCATGTGTAACAGTATATTAGATCCGGGCAGCTCTTAAAGTGACAGCAGCCTAATATTCCTGCTGTCTGTCATTTATGTTAATCAAACAACAAAAGACAGAAAATCTCTCACTGCTCTCGACTAAATCACTTTTGTAACTTTAACAAGAAGAACTATATATTTAATTTACATAGTGAAGAATATGCAGAATATGTTTTTTTTTTACATTTGATTACTTTATACAATGTATGTAGCATTTTTTTCTACTTTAGTTTTTTTGTCCTATTGCTTGTAATTAGTTTCTTATCCTTATTTAATCGCTGACTGTTTACTTTTTTTTAGTGAGCTTGAGTTTTTTTATTTAGGCTAATATTAGTGTTTTGTGATATATTAACACTGGTGAAAAGAACTATAAAATGTCTATGGTATCAAACATTTTTATATCATAAAGACCTTATTTAAAGCAAAAATAATTATATTGTGATATATATCGTTTTTGTGAAATAAAAATAACTCCTATCGTGATATAAGGGTTTGGTCATATCGCCCACCCATATGTCACTACCAAGTCTGTTTGTTCAGGTTATATATATTGTAAATATACAGAGAGCAAATGTTTTGATCAAATGTTTTTGAGACCATATACAGTACATATAAAAGCGAAAGAGTGTGTGAAGATGAAACTTTGAGGAGGCTCTTGAAGATGTTTATGAGTTTATGGTCCAGCTGATCCCCGCGCAGCAGCTGTGGGCTGAATGTCATTTAAACACAGCAGACATGTGGCACACGTGCCTCGGGCTCAACAGATACCCCGGTCTATTAGCACTGAGGAGGAAGTGGATGATAAATGGACGTTTCTGTAACATAATTATTGTCTTTTAATACAATCGGTCTCATGGACTGTTCCTGATCACTGCGCTCAGTGGCTTTAGGCTCCTCCATAATCTAACAAAAGGACACTTTATTGCTCAGAAGTTGCTTTTTTATAGCTCACGAGACATAATTGAGCTCTCGTTTATCATTAAACTTCATGTCAGATGTTTCTCCTGGTAGTCTTTTAGGCTCTTTGACACAAATGAGATGATTAGTGCTGACAAACCTCATGCGAATCTCATGAAAACTGGCAGGAACGGGTCATATTTCACCTCGAAATCACAATACTAGAAATTAAAAAATTACATTTGACACAAATTAAATTAAGCCAATCGTTAAAACCATTAATTTTGGGGGGTTTTTTTTGCATTGTGACATTTTCATGACAATTAAGCACAATTTCATCCAAAATTCTCACTGCTGTAATGCACAAAAACTACATACCTTGAAAAAAAATTGCTTTTGTTCAAATATACTATAACACATTTTTTTTTATTTTATATTACATTTTTCTAAAATAATAATAACAATTAAATAAAAACATATCAGTTCAAAGATGCCCATTTTTAGGACCATTAGTGCTATTATTATTATTTTGCATTGTTACATTTTCATGACAATTAAGCATATTTTCCTCCAAATATAAAAAAAAAAATAATAATAATAAGAAATAAGAAAACTTGGAAAAAAAGGTGTAACTTTTTTTTTACATAACAGTCCAAAAAATGCTTAATTTCATTTCTTTATGAAATTAAGATCCACCCAAAGAGTTTACAAGGAAAAAAATTTGACAGCACAGCACAGATAATTTGATAATTATTGAGACAATCTGAGCACAATTTGAGACCTCCATTCATACTATCAATGAGACATGAGATTTCTAGAGCTATTTTTCTCAGGAGAAACATCTCTGCTTACTCTGAAAGCTGTCTAGGAGAAACATTTCAGATATTTACTATGGCTTTAGCTGTTTTCCGGAAGATTCTCAGATTCTGTGACCCCTGAATAAAACTGAAACCCACCGTGGAGGTTGTGAGCGAGAGGGAGGCACTGAAGGAGAACCGAGTGAATGCAGCACAGCTTCTTCTGGAGCTTCACCGCGTCTATAGAGCACAGAGCTCAGGATCCCTCTGGGCCACACACACACACACACACACACACACGATCCGACCTCCTCCTCGCTGTCTGACAGCGCTCCATCAAACCCAGGCCGGCCTCGCACTCTTTGTTTCCATAGAAACGGCAGTCTGTGAAAAGTACAAGGAAAAAGATGTAGTGAAAAAGAAGAGCAAAGACAAACAGGAAACAATAGTTGCTGGACTCAGTGTGGTATCAGAGGGAGGAAAGACACATCGACTGGAAACATGACGCTTTACTGAGAGCCTGATGCATCTGAAACACGGTGAGACAGCTGAGGACTGAACCCAAGCACAGATTTATTTCTAAACAAAAATACTGAGCAACGTGACAAGACATTAAAACTCAGAAAACCTGCCTGGTTACGGAGGAAAAGAAAACCTGAGGCCTTAATACACCAAAACTAAGGAGTCTAACAACATACAAAAGGGCAAACGAACCAATCACAATCAAATTAACTTAGACTTGAAACTAGACTTTCACTATTTAGTGGCAATACAATGACAATACAAACCACACCGAACACAAGAAAGAAGTATGAACATAAAACTGAACTTCAAAATTAAAGACATGACATGAGAACATCACAAACCCCCATTTCGGTCTTTAAAGTTCTCAAAATAAATAATTAATTAATTAATTAATCAACCGTTAACTGTTTAATTCACCTGTTCATTATTTAATCAGACTAAAAAGTTAATATATTTTAAAATAAAATTGGTATAAAAAAATCCAAAATGATAACTAGACAAAAACATTGCATACTATTGTTTGAAATGGCGCTTTTGAGATTTTAGGTAATTTAGATCTTATTTATGTATATATTTCCCCATCATTTGTACAAGAAAATATGATAACAATAACTAAATGCCAACTGCTGAATTAAACATGCATAAAAAGGTGACAAAAATACTGCGTATTACTTTGAAATGTATGTTTGCATACTGCATTATATTTCATATATTATTTTTAACCCTACTAAGCTTATTGAAAAGGGCCACAATTTGGTTTTTCAGTTAAATTAAATTATATAAAACATATTTCCCTAAAGTGGTGTCAATAATATTTTGAACTTCTTTTTCGGATTTTAGGTCATTTAGATCTTATTTATGCATAAATGTCCCCATTTTACCATCATTTGTATAAGCAAATATGATAACAAGATAATTAGATGCCACTTGCTTAATTTAATATGCATAAAAATATGACTGAACATTGCATAGTACTTTTTGAAATGTTTTTTTGCATACTTGTACATACATGTCTTTGTATACTGCATACGTTTCGTATATTTAGACCTTATTTGGATATCATTTACATCTAAATGCATCTATTTCACTATCATTTGTACAAACAACTTTGATAACTAACTAAACATGACTTGCTGAATTGAATATGCATAACAAATGACTAAACGTTGCATACTACTGTTTGAAATGTTTATCTTTGCATACTGTTTATATAATTGGATCTTATTTATGTACAAATTTCTATATTTTACTATCATTTGTATGTGTAAATATGATAACTAGATGTCAATTACTGAATTAAACATGCATAAAAAGACTAAACGTTGCAAATTTGCATATTGTTTGAAATGTTTATCTTTGCATACTGCATGTTTCACTTACTATCTTAACCCTCCTAAGCTTTCAATATATGTTCAATATATTTAATAAAGCACATTTAAAACAACTTTAGTTGACCAAAGTGCTGTACATAAAGCGTAAACCTAATTACAACATTTCAAAAATGCACAGACCTAATCGCATGCATTGATATTACATAGACTTAATTACAACAGTAAAATCCATATAACCTTAAAATAACCCAATCACATATCATTAAAAGCACGGGAGAAAAGATGAGTTTTTAACAGACATTTAAACTCAGACACTGTAGAAGCAAAAAAGGTAGTTGTCACTGGGGCAGTGCCTTTTCAAAACAAACACCTTTGTACCTTATTTACCTCTAAAGGGAGCATACTGGTACCTTAAAGGTACTTATTAGCACCTAAGGTGTACATATTAGTTCCTAAATGCTACATATTTGCAACTTCTAAAAAGGTACAGCCGCAGTGACAGCTTTTTTAAGTTTTTCTTGAGAGCATGTTAAAAATGCACTTGCATACGTATGAGTACTTGCATAAAGCATGTTTCCGGCCTCACGATATTTAGTGGGCACTTTCTCTGTAAGAAGAAGTGTGTGAGAGGTGGAGCAGCAGAAGTGAGTTTATCGCCGGTGCTGATGGGGCGTCTGTGTGATTGAATGGCGCCTGAGCTTGTGCTGAGAAGAGCCACAAATCTCCTCTGGGCTCAGCATGTCTGACAGCAGGTGCTAAAAGAGTGTGTGTGAGTGAACTTCACTGCCAGTTCTTCAGAAACACACACACTCCCAGGATGCTGTGATATTGAGCGCATGCATGCATCGTCTTCCTGTTTCGTGTTGGCTGGACGTTTGGCTCGAGCGGTGTGTGAATGATCTAATTGTCCTTAGGAGCATGAGACAACACAGTGTGTGTGTGTGTTTGCAGCTGGACGTGTTGAAGTATTTTAAGGGCTCTTGGCTGAGGCACATCACGCCCTCTAATCTCCCAGCATGCACCCTCACCGCCCCTCTAATCCACTTCCTGCGCTTTGATCCCTGATTGGCAGCGTGTGCTGGTGCGTCTGAGTTTCTCCTCCAGCAGCACCACTGCCAGTTTACCGTATTTCACAGTGTGAGTGTTTCTGGTGGGGAACTAAACAGAACTGTCTTGTGTCTACTGCCTACAAAGGGAGCTAAAAGGCCCACGTGGTGCTTTTTATGAATCGCTAACTCATGAAAATGTAGTTTACTTGAGAAGGGGGTTCACATTTATGACCTAATATTAATTAGTCTACACAGAACCCAAAGTGTAGACTATAAACCACTTCAGCATGGTTTACTTAACAGATAGTGTTTGAGTATCTGTTACTGTAAACATAATACATATTAATGTTTAATATAATTTCTTACAATACATACATTTATTTTTTTATTTTTTTATATATGTACAAATAATGAATAAATATTAAATATTGTTGTATTAATTTCATACATATACATATAATCATATATTAATTTTATACATATAATAATATATTAATTAATATATTCATATTATATTTTGGTATTATGGCATTATTAATTATTGGAAATTAGATATTAAATTAATTAATATATTATATAATATTAGTCATACTAATATTAATTATATATTTATATATACATAAACTTGTTGATTTTTAGATATTTTATAAATAACAATATTAAATACTTAAGATTTTTTTATAGATATTATATTAAATATTTTCATATATATATATATATATATATATATATATATATGTATAAATATATTTTTACAAATATATTCATTTTAATTAATATATATAATATTGCTATTAAGACATTATTCATGAATTGATTTTAAATATTATATTAATTAATATATTAATATATTACCCTTAACCTTAACCTTAATTCCACCGGCGCCGTTCGGCGCATAGGGCGACAAACGTTCTCCAACGGCTTCGATCCGTGGCTGTGACTTCAGCCTCGTCCCATGGAATGTTCTTCGCCTTGTGCAGGCCACCAGGATATTGCCATCTTGAGTATCTGATGATCAGGAAGGTTGTAAGATGTGTCCGGCGAAATGAAACGGCGTTCGGTGTCTGTCGCAGAGAGGGGCTGTGTATAGGTGCGACGGTATACTTCCATGTTTGTAACATGGTCCCGGTAAGTGATCTTAAGGATGCGTCGCAAACAACGACGGTGGAAAACATCGAACTTTCGAGCGATGGTTTCAGTCATCTTCCAGGTCTCGCATGCGTAGGTCACCGTCAGCATAACGATCGTAGCCAGGAGTCGCAGTTTAATCTGCAGAGAGAGGAAAGGTGAGTTCCAGATTAAGTCGCTGGAACACGGCAGATGCTTTGCCGATGTGGCAGATGACATCTCGTTCTGCATCCCCATTTGAGACGACACTGCCAAGATAATTGAAGTTTGTAACTTCCTCCACTTTTTTTCCGTTGATTGTAATCGGTACTCTCGAGTTTACATAGCCAATGCGAACGACTTTGGTTTGGTTCTTTGATTTTCTAGGGCCATAGTGAGGTCTCGTAGGGCAGTTTGGGTCAGGCCGAGAATGACAATATCATCGGCAAAGTCGAGATCGGCAAGGAAGAGATTACCAACTGTCCAAGGTATGCTGATGTGTAGGTGGTTGATGGAGTGGCGGGCGACGAAGTCAGTGACAAGGAGGAATAACATCGGTGAAATCACACAACCTTGTCTTACACCAGTTTCAATCGTGCAGAAATCAGTTATTCCTTCTTCCATCCGTACACAGCATAGAGAGCCTTGGTAAAGGTTGCGAAAGATGTCTACAAATCGAGATGGAATTCTGTAAGCCTGGGCTATCTTCCATAGCATTTTTCGTCAAAGGCCTTGACAAAGTCGATAAAGTTCAGTGAGATCCTTTGTTGGTATTCCTGCGATTGTTCAATCACTTGTCGCAGAACACAAATCTGCTCAATGCAGGATCGGCTACTTCGGAAACCCGCTTGTTGATCTCTAAGGCAGACATCGACAGCTCATCGGAGGCGGTTTAAAAGGATAATAGAAAATACCTTTCCAGGTACCGATAGAAGGGTAATAACCCGCCAGTTATCACACTTGGAGAGATCGCCTTTTTTGGGAGCGTGATGATCATACCTCGTTTCCATTCCTCAGGAACTGCTGAGGTTGCCCAGCAAGCATTAAGCAAATCTGTCAGGGCATCAACAAGGCACTGGTCACTAGATTTAAGTAGTTCAGGTGGGATTTCGTCCAGGCCTGCAGCCTTGCCATTCTTGAGTGCCCGGATCGCATTTTTTGTTTCCACTGCTGTGATCGTGTCAAGGTTTACTGGCAGATTGGGTATAGGGTTTAGGAGGCTGGGATCGAATGCTGTGGATGGCACTGGCTGGTTTAGGACTTCCTTGAAATGCTCAACTCAGCGACGCTCACGTTCTTCTTGAGTAGGAAGGGCCCTGCCGTCCTGATCTTTAATCGGTGCGCCGCTTCCGGATGGGGAGTTGGGTAAGCT